CTTCATCATAGCCATTACATCGTTCTCCTCCGGATCTCCTCCGACTCCACCGTGCACTTCATCCCGCTCGGCCATCTCTTTGCTGTTACTGACGCCCGATGTGCCAGTAATGCTGTGTTCTCTGATTTCCTTCCTTATTAAACTTGATACTTTTGACGTCCCTATTCCCCAACAAACGACGTTCTAACTTGCGCTTGCTTGCACAGTTATCAGGCGATCTTGCGATGTCTGTATTAAAGAATTGTCGACGGTGACAGCTAACGCTAATTGTTATTCCGGAAGGATTGCCGGTGGCGAAGATATTTAGCACGATAAACTGTTACAAGTAATGTAAAGAGTATTGTTAGCGTTCGGCAGGACTTGAGGAGATTCCTGGTAGGAATACCGATCGTTGTGAGATAAACAATAGGCGCAGTCACCGCCCTAAATACGGGCGCTAGCGGAACACTCGTACATTCCGCGATCTAACTGCACGTACATTCCGCGATCTCACTGCGCCGTCCAGACGGTGCCCTAATGTCTATCACTTAGCTACCGGATATGCATCGGTAGCCCCATAAGGTTCTGGGGTAAGTCTTCCCCATTAGTTAGGCGCAGACCCGGGGTCAAATCCCCTGGTCGACAACCATACGAGTTGGGAGAGGACCGTTTCCTCAACACGCCCCCTTGGGCCTTATCCCAACGAGTACCAAGTTCATCTGCACACTTCACACAAGGCCCATAGCATCTCGGCAACGTTTGAACTTCACCTCGCCCAGAGCCTTCGTTAGTACATCCGCAACCATCCACTCCGTAGGGCAGTATTCCAACTGCACCTCACCGCTATTCACCCTCTCACGCACTATGTGATGCTGCACGTCGATGTGCTTCGACCGAGCAGACGTAATCGGGTTGTTTCCCAAGCTAAGCGCCCCCTGGGAATCTATTTGAATCTTGATAGCGCTCTCAGGCAAACCCAAATCAACCATCAGCTTGCGAAGCCACAAAGCCTCACGAACAGCTGCCGCTGTCGCTTGATATTCGGCCTCCACCGACGAAGCCGCCACAGTACGTTGAAGTTGGCTGCTCCAGCTAATCGCAGCCCCATTAAGAGTGAAAACGTAGCCGGACGTAGAACGCCGCGTAACTGGGTCTCCTGCCCAGTCCGAATCACTGTACCCGGACATAGCAACGTCGCCAACACCCCCAAAACGCAATCCTAGTTCGCGAGTCCCCGCCAGGTAACGCAGAACGCCAGTTGCTAAGTTCATGGCAGTCTTCGTGGGTGCGGCCATATGCCGGGACAAAACGCTCAATGCATATGAAATGTCAGGCCGCGTGTTCGTCGCAAGATAGTTCAATCCTCCCACTAAAGCTCCGTGGGATTGCCCAGCAGCTCCTCTCCGTCCCCCTTAGGAGTGTACCTAAAGCCCGGAGGCAAAGGGGTAGACCTCGGCTTGGCGTCAATCATCCTATGACGCTCCAACAGCTGCGCAATATACCTATGCTGCGACAACACTATCTCACCCGACTTCTCCCTCCTAATTTCCATGCCCAAAAACACCTTCGCTTCTCCAAGGTCGCGCACCTTGAAGACCTTCGCAATTGCAGCTTTAATTGCCCGGACCATTTCTGACGCAACAATAGTGTCATCTACGTGCACCAAAGCGATAACAACCCCACGCTCGTCAGTCTTAACGAACATCGCCGGATCAGACTTCGAAGGATAAAGACCCAACTTGGCGAACTCTGCTGATAGTTTTTCATACCAGCAACGGGGTGCCTGCTTTAAACCGTAAATAGACTTCTGCAGCTTGCACGCAAGCGACCGGTCACTGGATGCATACCCAGGCGGTTGCTCCATCCACAACTCCTCCTTCAGCTCACCATTCAGAAACGCAGTAGACACATCCAGCTGATGTACCGTCATGTTCCGGGCTGCGGCAACTGCTAATAAAGCACGCAATGACGAACCACGAGAGGTAGGGGCAAATAACTCCCCATAATCAATCCCCTCACGTTGCTCGAAACCCTTGGCAACTAAACGCGCCTTAAAACGCTCCACGCTGCCATCATCGCTGTACTTAACCTTATATACCCAACGACACGGCAACAAACGAGTACCAGGAGGTGGCTTCTTCAGCTCCCAAGTACTATTAGCCATCTGGGCGGCGATCTCCTCGTCCATCGCACGCCGCCAGTCGTCTGCATGTGGACTTGCAATTGCTTCCTCAAACGAATTAGGCTCAGGAATACCAGCAGAGAAAGCAGCGTTAACGCGACCAGTGACAGTGCGACCAGGTTCGTTTCGCCACCATTCGCCAGGGCGTTTACGCTCTCTAACTGGGTACCTAGTTCCCGCCATTTCCACATCAGGCTGATTAATTCCTTGCCCGTTCGCACTGCTGG